AAGAATCTGACGTTTGTTATTTACTTAAAAATAACTCCTGAATCATAAGCAGTTTCGTAATTTGTGTGGAGCCTGACTTACAACAAAATTCCCCCTCTCAGTGTTTCCATCTCCCTCTTTATTAATCATTAGTAGTCATTCATAATCATTATCTATTTGTCAAGGCAGAGGATTCCCCAGGCAGAGTCCAAAACCCTACGGCACCAGGTGCTGGGCAGACACAAAACCTTTTGTCACTTGCAAGAGTCACACAATCAACTGTTAAATTGATGCTGCACTTGTTAAATGCAATAAAGAACAGAAACGGACACTATGGAGAGACATGTAGGCCTGGAAGGGACCTCCTGGGTTAGCAAATCCAGCCACTGCTCTCCCAGAAAACACTCTCACACAATCCATTCATGAATGTATCTATCTCCTATGCAAACGAATTAAACTGAGTGTCCCACTGCTTCGACAGTTCCAGAGCCTGCCTTCTCTGAGGGTTAGGAACCTTTCAATGTCCAATCTCAATTTAGTTAGGGCCAGTGCCTGCCTATTTGTTCTTGGACCAGCATCACCCTTTGCCTTCAGTAGTCCATCCCCCCCCTCCCCCCCGGCCCGGCCACAATTCCCTAGTGTATTTCTCTCCACTCATTTTAGCTGATCTCTTTTGGATCTGTGAATCTAACTGTAAACGGGTCTATAGGGCGCCCCGTTGGCACCACGCCACCCCTCCCCGGTCCCGTGCTTCCTTTACCCCTTTTTGAGCGTCCTCTGGCGTCCGAGTCTGTCTTAACAGAGGTTCGTAGGCCCTCCCCTAGGTTGGGGCTTCGCTGGTCCCCGAGGCGGGGCTGTCCCCTTTCTGACCGCGGGGAGAGGGGGGTCCGGGCCCGCCCCCTCTCACGGACCCCAGCCCAGGGCCCTAAGGACACGAATGCCTATGTCGTCCGGTCCGGCTGGCGGGGCGTCCGCCGTAACTTGCCAACTCGCAGACTCCCTTTGCCCGCCCTGGGCTACTTCCTCTCTCCGCGGTCAAACATGCCCTTGCCGTTGGGCTCACCTCCTCGCCTTGGGTCCCATCCGTTGCGGGTCCCCAATGCGGAGCCGCTCTCTCCGCCTTCCTCCTTCCCCCGGCATCTTCTGGGGTTTAAATCCCCGCGCCGGCTCCTGGTCCGCAGGGTCCCGCCCCTTCTGTTGTGTCCCCGCTTCCGGTCTGTCGGTGGGGCTGAACGCCGACGTCACTCCGCTCATGACGGCGCCCAGGCACCCGGCCAGGGCCGCCCAGGAACAGCTGGCGCACTGCTGGTAGACAGGCGCAGGCCGCACGGGACTGGAGTGCGGGGCGCTTCCACCCCATCACACTAACGCTCAATGGTAAAACATTTTCAAGCAAGATCATGTGATTTTTTTGGGATGACAATTGACCCTCTAGGAAACACAGTCCTGATTTGAAGCAAATCCAGGTAAGAACATAAGAGGAGCTGTATTGGGTCAGACCAAAGGTCCATCTAGCCCAGTATCCTGTCTTCCGATAGTGGCCAATGCCAGATGCCCCAGAGGGAGTGAACAGAAACAGGGAATCATCAAGTGATCCCTCCCTTGTCACCCATTTCCAGTCCCTGACAAACAGGTTAGGGACAGCATTCCTACCCAGCCTGACTAATAAGTATTGATGGCTCTAACCTCCATGAATGTTTCTAGTCCTTTTTTGAACTCTGTTAAAGTTCTGGTCTTTACACCATCCTCTGGCAAGGAGTTCCACAGGTTGACTGTGCACTGCAATAAAGGAAAACTTACTATTGTTTGTTTTAAACCTGCTGCCTATTAATTTCATTTGGACAGCCCTAGTTCTTATGGGAATAAGTAAATAACTTTTCCTTATTCACTTTTTTCACATCTGTCATGATTTTATAGATCTCTATCCTATCCCTCCTTAGTCTCCTCTTTTCTTAGCTAAAAAGTCCCAATCTTTTTAATCTCTCTTCATATGGCATCTGTTCCATCCCCTTAATCATTTTTGTTGCCCTTTTCTGAACCTTTTCAAATGTTAATATTCCTTTTTTGAGATGAGGCAACCACATCTGTACGCAGTATTCAAGATGTGGGTGTCCCATGGATTTATACAGAGGCAGTAAGATAGTCTCGGTCTTATTCTCTATCCCTTTTTTGGATGATGGTAGAACTCCACAGCTGGGCCCAGGATTCAGATACCTCCCCCTGTTCCAGTGAACTTTGCTTTCTTCTGGGGGGTGCCAGCCACTTGGCAACAGAGGAATATTCTGGAAGTGGAGCTAGCTGCCTAAAAATGCTTAAATCCCAGGGCAAAAGCTTGAAACTAGAAAAATACCATATCCGGGCACACCCCGACCACGAACTGTTGTTATTACATCTGCAAAAGTACGTGCTTAGCCCAGAAACTTGATTTCCCACAGCTGTTACTATTAAACATATGTGCTCGTGGTACGAAACGGTGGTAGTCATGCCAGAGGAGAGGTCTAATCTGGTTAGGGAGCTACCCCACAGTAAAACAGGTATAATAGTAATACCTGGCTCTTAGTGAGTGCTTTTCATCAGTGGATCTCACAGCGCTTTACAAAAGAGGTATCGGTCCCATTTTACAGATGGGAAAACTGAGGTGCGGAGCGGGGACGTGACTTGCCCGCTGGGTCATTGTGACACAGACACGGCCAAACAAGCCCAGTCAGGTCTACCAAAGGGGGCTTGTGTGAAGGTGGAAAGCTAAGTGTTGGCTGATTGTCATGATTACTGCAAGATGTTTGTGCGGGAAACAAGTTTGAGCTACGTAATGTGTAGGTGGTTGTGTCCCAAAGCTGTTGGGAGTGAAACCTCTCAGCCGAGGAGTGGAAGGCTGAGAGCAGATCCTGTCACCATGAGAACAATGGGCATTTAGGGACCTGTGCTGTTCTTCCTGTATGCAGGCAGGAGATTCCCAAAAACAAAGGAACCCAAGAGACAATAGCCGGTGTCTGTGTATCCGAGGCCCAAAGGGGTTACCTGTTACTGAGGAAACATTCGGCTAGCAGAGGCATGTCTCATGAAAGGGGGACCCCATCTTTCTGAACCGGACAAATTCTGCAAGAACTGGCAGAGGTAAGAAATACTTTACTAGGCCGGAAGGTGTAACCTAGATCGCATTTTGTGTTTTTCCTTTACCACTAACCTCGTGTTTCCCAATCCTTTCACTTGCTTAGAGCGGAATCTTGAATTCAAGGGTCGGTCAAACCAGGCCAGTTTGTTTTGAGTGGAAATCACATTGCGCACCAAGGAGGGTGTCGGACTAGGCGAAACGGGGGTGCCCAATTGTGACAAAGTGGGGATTGTGTTTGCCTTGCTATGTTGCCTGTGAGTTCTGCTGCCCTACACTGACCCCATGTGCATGCCTCAGTTTCCCTGCACCAGTACTTGGAAGATGGTGATGGGAATTCTAGGGTGACAGCCTCCCTGCACCTACACAATGGCTGATGCTTTTTGTAACCTGAGCCTGGGAAGTGGGTGGGACTAGGTGACACCTTTTGCCTTGGAAGCTGGACAAAGGTGGGAGGAGGAGCCTGACTTGGGGGCTGGGCCCGGATCAGTGGGGGCTGGCATGAGGAGGTAGGAGGAGAGGAAGGGTCCAAGCTCTGGGCCCTTCTCTCACTAATAAACCTTCTGCTCTCCCTGCTGGCTGACAGTCACATCTGGCTGTGGAGGTAGGTGCAGGACCCAGTGACCCCCCCAAACTTCAGTGACACTCGCCTCCACTGAGGCAGCAGATCGGTGGACGTTGTGGGTGTCCAGAAGAAAAAGAACCGGGCGCCCCAGGGTAACAAAGCAGGGTGTGGCAATTGTGAGCGTGCAGGCCACGAAGCGCAGGCTGGGCTAACTTAGCACCACGTGGACAGACTGTCGGCCGGCGTCTGTCACCGTGGCTCCGCTGACAGACGGGGAGTTCTTCCGGTCCTCACCAGACGGGCCGTGTCACCTCTCTGCACTGCATAAGTGGCTGTGTCCGGCGCTGCTGGGCACATTTTCCAAAGGAGGTTGAAACCCTGTGGAGGGTGCAGAGAAAAGCCGAAACAATGCTTGGTGGGCTGGAGAAACGCCAGGGAGCGAGCGACTCGGACTGGTTCCAGAAAGATGGAGTGCCCTGGATCCTGGTGCACACGGCGCTCCATGGGGAGAAAATCCCAGGTATTAAAGGTGTCTTTTAGCTAGTGGAGAAAGGTGGAAGCGGAGCGCATGGCTGACACATAGGAGGTCAGGAAGACGATCTATTGGTCCCTTCTGGCAACAAACTATGAATTTGGCCCTGTGTTTCTATCCGGGTCACTTAGTAGCCAGGTTTCTCAGTGCCGTAGCCCCCAGCAGCACCGGCTCAGCGAGTCCTCTCCAGGCCTGCAAGGAATGGACGGCGGTAGCAAGACTTTGTATGTGAAAATGTATGAAACACACCCACAGGAAATTCCCAAGCGGGGCCCTTTCACCTTAAAGTCAGCTCTAATAGGGGCCCTGAACAGCCCAGCCAGAGTTAACCATCTCATCCCTCAAGGCATGGGAGTCAGGATGCTGGGGATTTAGCATCAGCTCTGGCAGGAGCGTGTAGCAAGTGGTTAGCTCAAAAACTAGGCATCAGGATGTCTAGATACTGTCACTGCCACTGGAAGGGCAGTGGGGTCCAATGGTTAGTGGGGTGAGGGTGCTTGGAGTCTGGATGTCTGGATCTGTTCCCAGCTCAGAGACGATGCTGTCAGTGTGACCCACAGAAAGATGGCCTGGGCCATGAGGAAGGGTATGGCTGGGAACATACTAAGAATGCAAATGCCTTTAGCAATGAACAGGCTGGCAGTGCAATAAGAGGCATGCAGCAGCTCTGCAGTTCTGTAGCCTAAGGAAAGGGAGGCTGGAAGCCAGGGCTCCTAAATCTTATCCCTAAAGAGCGGGGATGCCCCACACCAGAGGTAGCTGCATCTCAGCCTGGGGGAAGCCATCTCTGTGCTGTGTGTCTGTGTGGCTCTTACCTGCCCGCCCCACCTCACTGTCAACACCAGCTGAGTGAGCCATTACGATACTGCCTGTGAAGGTGACCCTGAAGGATTCCAAGAACAACTTATAAGGAAAAGGGAAGTTCTGTAAATCTGAGAACAGGATTTGTCAAATAGCCGATAAGGAGCATAAACAGAACTAGAGATTAAACAAAGAGCCTTAATATTTTATTAGTTTCACATTTCAAAGCAAAAAAATTAACCACTTACACTCAGATCACTTATTGTTACCGCGAGGCTAGACTAGAGGCGAACTGGGAAGAGAGGGTCAGGGTTTTAGGCTGATGAGCTGATATTCACCCAGATCTTCAAGGTTGCTGGACCCAAACGGATTATTGAAGGAAAGGTGACTTGGTATCCCATTATACATGTGATTAAAGCCACTTCAATCCCCTCTCCCAAAGCTAAGCTATCAGTACTAATGTAAAATCAAATTGCAAAGAAAAGCAATACAGCTGGAGCTGGCTGGAAGAGAGGATTTCCCATGGGAAAGCCCAATGTTTTGACACTGGACTGTGTTGCAAATCCAAATAAGCCGTTGCCGTTTTCATGGAATGGAAGCTTCAAAACAAAATTTGTGATTTAGAACCCCGCTAACAGTACACTCGGAGTGTTTGGAGAAGTCTGAACTATTACAAAATAGTACCACAGGAAATAGTCACAATATAAGGGGATACAAAAGCAGCAAATCAAAATGAAATGCTCCATTTTAATTCAGAATTGTGCGGAGAGTTTTTTTTCTGCCAAAAGGTTAGCTGATAATCTAACCTTTCAGTTTGGATCAGGAGACCATTTTCAGATGGAAAACTCTTGCCTGGAGATTTTTTTTGGCGGGCGGGTGGAGAGACACTAACATTCATTATAACTGCCAAATCAAAATCAAATCAACAAAATAATCTCAACACCTGATCATCATAAAGAATTCTGGAGATAAAAAATTCGGTTCTAAAAAAGGAGTCTAAAATTCTGAAATTTGGTGGAATTCAAGTTTTTGGCCCCCAACAAGAAGCATTTTCCATGGGAGGAAAAAAGTCCCCGTTTCCCAGCCAGCTGCAGATTGGCCAAAGGGAGGCAGGCGGCGGGAAGGGGAGGAGACGAAGAGCTGAAAACGGGACAGCGAGGGTGGGATAGACAGGGGAGGAACCCTCCCCACTGCCCCACAGAAAAACCCCGGGGAAAGGCTGAGCCAGGGACCGATCCATGGGAGAAGGCCTGGCACCTTGGAAGAGACTGGTTGCGATTCCGGAGTGGATCCTGCCAGCCAGGCTCCCAGGCGGCATCCTCAGAGCTCCATGCAGAAGGTCAGATTGCTCCCAGCCATCTTCTTCTCATAGTCCTCATCAAAGCGCTCGTTCTGCGCCACGGTGAAGTGATTCTTCCAGTCCCCGACGGTCCCTGCAGACAGCAGAGAGCGGAGTCGCCGTGTGAGGCCTGCATCCGCAGACCCTGCATCCACAGCCAGCATCTGCACCAGGCCTAACCCAGCTGCCGAGGCACTGCTCTGAGGAAGCTCACAGCCCTCAAGGCCTTGCTGAGCACTGCTGTGAGCTGAGTGGGGCAGGGCCCCTGACCCCCATGGACTGGGCTTCCCCCTTTTACACGCCCTTCTGAACCTTAATGGCCAGTCCAGGCTCGGTTAACTCCGTCCAATCAGGAGCAGCCTGCATTAGTTGGCTATGGATGGGAGTGTCACACACCCCTCACCAGCAGGGGGCGCCCTGCAGCCCATCACGGGCAGGCCTACGGACTGCGTTACCTTTGCGCATGAACGGGGAGATGGACTGGTCCATGACGGACAGGGGGACACCAGTGCGGTTCGCCATGGGATTGTCCTTCATGACGTCGAATGACGTGTGGTAGACGATCTTCTCCAGGAGCGCCTGGTCCAGGTTCTTTCCCAGGAACCGGGCCACATTCTCGATCTCACGCTTCGGGTCCTGCGGGGAAGGCACTGCTCTGAGGAAGCTCGCAGCACGACAGCCCCTGCTCGACGCTGACAAAGCACTGCTGCGAGGAAGCTCACAGCACAAGAGGCCCTGCTGTGCATTGCCATGCTGGTACTGTCTGGGAGCTATACAGATATATCCCGGCCAGGACACTGCTGTGGGGAAGCTCACAGCCTTGGACACTGCTGCAGGAAAGCTCATAGCACTGAGGTCCCCAGCAGGGCACTGCTGCAGGGAAGCTCACAGCACTGGAAACCCATCTCCTGTTCCCTTTAAGGACACACGTTGGGAAGGGCTCATTTCTCCTCCCCTCCCCGACGGAGTCCCCGATGCTGCAGCTCCTGTACGGGTCGCACCGCAGCCCCTCTGAGTTCCCCGCACGGAGCCGCTCACCTGCTTCATGTCCTCGTAGAAGAGGAAGAGCAGGCGATGTGTGTCCTTCGCCTTCCACCAGCCCTTCACGTGGGCGTGCCACGAGCCCCAGCCCACTGCAGCAGAGAGAGCAGGGAGACCGACGGCCCGGTGAGCCCAGGCGGGACTGTGCTGCAGTGGGAGGGCTCCCCAGCAGGGGGCGCTAGGGGAGACCCTAGAGCTGTGAGCACAGGGGTTGGGGGCATCCCAGCAGGGGGCAGTCTCCCCAGGAATGGGGTCACTGGGGGACCCCGGGGCTGAGGCTGTGGAATCGGGGTGTCTCCCAGCAGGAGTTGAGGGCTCAAGGAGGGACCCCATAACTGAAGGCATGGGGGTGTCTCCTCAGTAGGGGGCGCTCTCCCTGGAGCATTCTAGGGTGCAGGGATGGTGTCTCCCCAGTAGGGGGCGCTCTCCCTGGAGCACTCTAGGGTGCAGGGATGGTGTCTCCCCAGCAGGGGGTGCCTTCCTTGGGAGGGGGGGCTTCAAGGGGAGACCTCAGGCCTGAGGGTACATGGCTGGGATGTCTCCCCAGTAGGGGGTGCTGCCCCCAGGGTGGGATACTGTAGGGTGGCCCCAGGGCTGGGGGGATGGGGGTGGCTCCCCGCAGGGCTCAGACAACAGGAAGGAGAATTCCCGGGTGCCGAGTCAAGGAGCTGGGCCGAACTCACCTTTGCCCGCCATGAACTTCTCGAAATACTCGGGCCAGGGGCCAGGGTCGGGCACCATCTTGTTCATCCTCTGGAAGTGGTAGTAGGAGACCATGCAGTCCTTGGCATTGCGAGCCACGTACAGGAACTGGGGTGGGGGCAGGAACGAGAGAGAGGGAGAGGGGTTTCTGTGGGTCACTGCAGCAGGGCCAGGGGGTCGCGAAGCTCCAGCCACCTTACACCTGTTCATGGCTATTAAATACTCGCACGGTGGCCCTGCGCAGGGATCACTCACCTAGCATGGAAAAGCAGCCACCTCTGGGGTGGGGCAGAGTGGCTGTGTAACCCCCCTGCTCTGGGGGCACGGCGCTCGGCAGAATTACCTTACACCGCTGTTCCCAGAAGGACGGAGGCAACAGCTGGACGGGGAGGTGGGTTTTCAGGGTCCGTGGCGGGGGCATGGCTTCGGCCTGCTCCACCCCTGCGAGCGGGAGCGAAGTTCAGACGTTGTGCATGAAAAACCCACCCCGCCCATCCCAGCGGCACCCACCTGAGGGCTGGGGCGGGCGAGCCCACTCGATGAAGGGGTGCCGGCGGTGGACGGGCGCCCGCTGGCACTTCTCCAGGTCCCCCTCCTGTTGGATCATGTCTACGATCTCCTGGATCCATGTTGTGCCTTCCCACCAGGAAAGGAAGGGAGTCTTTATCCCAGCCAGACCCTCGGTGCCCATATTGTTATGGAGGAGACTGTTTAGTGGCTGCCTTGCGACACTGAGGCCTGCTGGCTAAAGCACTGGACTTGGGAGACCTGGGTTCTAATCTTGGCTCTGCCCTCGACCAGCTGGTGGTCCTCATGTTCCCATGTTGTGCCTCAGTTTCCCCATCTTTAGAGGAGAACAACCGGGCTAACCTCTTTTGCGAAGTGTTCCGAGAGGTGCTGATGGAAAATGCTGCATAAGAACTCGGGATGTTGGGTTCAGCCTGAACCAGGGAGCAATTAAATGCTTTTTGGCTTTGAGACAAAGGACAGAGAACAAAAGTGCAAATACAGGAAGCTGTGGATTAACTCTCTCGGATGCAGCTGTGTGTCTGCTAGAAGCCAGCCGCCAGAAACCTGAGATAGCCAAAAAAGCCCTGGTAACATGACCCAGAGAGAGAGAGAGAGAGAGAGAGAGCTTTTGGGCAGAGGGTTGGCTGGAAAGAGGCTTGGAACTGAGAACAAAGAAATGGTCCTTTTCTGTGTTCAGGGCACAGGATGCTCTACAGTCCCTGTCAATAAACAGGATTGCACCAGAGAAACACCAATTCCAGTGTTAGTTTTTCCTTGTAACAAAACGATTCTGCAGAACCCTAAAAATTCACTCTTCCCCCGGGATCAAAAGGGCTAATGACGTCGTCTCCACGTAGTTTCTGCAGGCCATCAATTCCCGCAGCACCGCGGCCTGTAGCGTCGTGCTGGTCAGGTCTAGGGATGTTAAGGACTAGTCGACTAGCCGATCGGCAAATGCTCATTGGATAGTCGACTAGTCGCTTCCCCTCCCCCTTGCTGTCTCTATCAGATAGAGGCAGCAAGGGGGAGAAGGTGGAGTACTTCAAAGCAGCAGCGCCGCACAGCTGATCCAGAGCTCCATGCAGCACGGCCCTATCGACTAATCGAATAGTCGATGCAAAAATGCACCGACTAGTCAATTAGTGAATTACACGATGCTTAACATCCTTAGTCAGGTGGCTGTAGGGCTGAATTAAGGCCGGAGCACCCCTAGCTCCCGAGTATGTCACCCCACCCCCCGTAGCACAGCGGCCCCTACTGCCATGCCGGATCCCTGGGCAATGTGGGCCTGGCTCTGTGGTCCCGGAAGGGATGGAGCCTTGGGTGAAAAGGGGGGGGGAGAGGTGTTGGCCCCGCCCAGCCCTTAGAGCTGTGGCACCTGTGCTGCCATAGCCCCACCCCGCTCCCTGCAGCACAGCGCCCCCTAGTGCCGCACTAGGGAAAGGGCTCAGGGCTCTGGGCACCACCTCTGCTGCCATAGCCCCACCCCGCTCCCTGCAGCACAGCACCCCCTAGTGCCGCACTGGGGCATTAGATTGCTACTGAGTCACCAGTATGATTTCTTGCGGCACCCTGGGATTTCCCCCACGTCTCTCATCCAAGCACTAGCCCTCCCTGAGAGGCCTTCGCATGACACCTGACCAGCACCCACCCTTCCAAGGCTCTCCCTCAGGGGTCTGTTGAACTTCCGGGAGGAGCCCCTTCACAATGCTCCCAGCCCCAGGAGTGGGGGCACAGTGACTGTCTGTGCTCCTGCCTCTTCCCACTGTCTTCCCCTGAGCAAACACCCACCTGCTTTGGGATAGGTGCAGATGAGCAGGTCGTCAGGCCTGGCTTGGAACCTCTGGATCCGCGGCCATTCATTGCAGGTGGCCTGGGCGAGCAGAACCCCGTCCACTTCGCCCAGTGCTGGACGTCCCTCTGTTTCCAGCATAGGCGCGTTACTCTGTTCTTTGGCCATAGCGTCCTGCAGACTAGTCATTCACCCAGCACTGAAATGCAGCCACTTCTGGGGAGAGAGATTGCTACTCTTAAATACCTACTTGGTGTCCTGGCTGAGTTCTCAGAGCCAGAGAGGGAACACCCCTGTGGCTGTTTTCAGCACGGTGGCATGAGCCCCGGTATATAGGTCCGGACTTAGACCTGCTGCCGGGGGCTTTTTGTTTTGCAGGATAGCCATACTTCCTTGCCTCAGTTTCCCATCTGTGCACTGGGGATACTAGCTCTGCCCCACATCACGGGGGTGTGTGAGGATAAATACATTAAAGATCGCAAGGAGCTCAGATACCATCATCAGGACTTAGAAACACTGTAGCTATGGAACATAATTTAATGAATATGCCTCTGTTTTACAAATGAGGGCAAAAAGGCCTGGAGACATCCAACCCCATTTCTCAGCTCTGGGAGAAATTGGCAAACGGATTTTGCCCAATGGGGAGAAAACACAAGGGTCTTGATTCCAACAGACCATGTTAGCCACCCGTTACTTTCATTACACTCATGCCCTGAACTGTCTTTTCTTTTTCCTGTTTGATGGATCCCAGCTGGATGGTAGGAACCAGAGAGTCCCAATCTGTACTCGGTTCTCCCCGCAATCTGGGAGAGATTAGCTCATTTCTTGCAATAACCTGGCCCCATAAAGTTAGAGAAACTTAAGTGAGGATTTTGTTGCTGGCTGTTTGGGGGATCCGAGCCAAGACTCTCTCCTTCAGCCCTGCAGCTTTTTACCTTCTGCCTGTTGTTTTGATCCAGCCTCCTTCCCACGTCCCTTCTGCAACAGAGGAGGTTGGGGAGGGAGGGTCTATAAAGCTGCTCAGCCTGGATATTGAACTTTCTTCTGCTGGGGAGCAAAGTTTCCCTCTGGATCAGTCAGGCAGGCAAAGCCGCGGTGCTGCTCTTCGTGGGTGTCATTTCATCAGAGTTGGTCAGTTTCACGGGACTCAGCAGTTTCTGTTCCTCACTCCAACGGCTGCAGAGTCCGGCAGCTTTTCTTTGAGCCCCACGGCCGGGTCCCTCCACCCGCAGGAAGTGCTAATGGTAGTTTACTTGGCGCTCTCAAACCTGTGCCATTGTAACCAAGCCGGGAGCCAGTCCTAATGATCTCATCATAACCTATAACAGTTCTGGATCAAGTGCTGGGCATTTCTGTCTACACGGCGCACCACGACCGGTCTCTGGCTCAGCTTCGAGCCCCGGCCCTCCTTTCCGTTCACACACATACATACATCAGTGTGACTCAGGTCAGCAGCCACTCCGGACCCAGATCCTAGGACCCTGCTAGAACAGTGGGTCAGAGCCAGAGTTCCCCTGTAACTCGGGTCCAGGTTCTGCCAGCATGCAGTGCGGATGCAGGCCAAGCCAGACCTGCATCAGAGGGTATGCACAGCACAGTATGGACGTGTTAACGTGGCTGTGAGACCCGAGGCAAGCAATGATAAACTTGAGTTAACTAGGTTGTGACTACTTTCTTCCACTATTTGATCTGAGGAAGTGGGTCTGGCCCACGAAAGCTCATCATCTAATAAACCATCTTGTTAGTCTTTAAAGTGCTACATTGTCCTGCATTTTGCATTAACCAATTTATTGGAGCATAAGCTTTTGTGGGAAAAGACCAATATTATGCTCCAATAAATCTGTTAGTCCATAAGGAGCCACAGGACTCCTCTTTTATGCAGATTCAGACTAACCCGGCTACCCTGCTGATACTTGTATTAACTATTTTTTCATTGACGTGTTTAATTTTGTATCAAGTTCTTTTAGAAGTCCTTTTACATAGCATCCTATTACGTCTTTTTACAGAGAGGCTTTGTATCTTGTAGAATAGTCCCTGAAAATAAGTAAGGTAAAGAGAATGTCTTTGTACCCCCTTTTGCTTAATTGATTATCCTGTTGAGTGAATGGAGGCGTGGAAGAGAAACACCTCTGGGCATTTGCAATGGCTGGGGCGGGGTGGAAACCAGATCCAAGAACAAAGAAGAACAATGGGGCCTGTAAAGTGGGCTCCTGGAAAGAAGTCTGGACCTATGGACAGACACCTTGGGAGTCAGCAGCAAGTGCTGCTTTTGGAAGGCCCCTCTTTGGAGGGGAATGTGGCAGCATTGAGATGCCACAGGGAAGAGGGCGCCACAGAGGGCTAACTGCACATGCATATGATGACTCTCACAGGTGATGCATATGCATTGAGGACTGACTGGAGTAGATCTGCATGATAGTGGAACTATTATCAATCTAAGGCATCTTGCAGGGGGCCCGGGGGTTTCATCTTGTCAATGTGGGAGCATCGATCCAGATCAGCAGGAGCCAGGCTCCACCCCTGCCCCATCTAACTCACGGGGCCAGTGCTGTTACAGGGAGCAACTATTGGTAACAAGACGACGGAGTGTGTGTGAGTGGGGCATGTCACATGCAGATGATAAGTGTTGATTGCTCTATATGTAAATGTGACGTTTTGCCTCTAACATGCAGTATTTTTAAGTACATGGACACTCGAGTGCTTGGAAACACCGAGTCCCCAGGCCTGGCTCCCACGGATCCAGCTCTGCAATGCAGCATAGACATGCCTGAAGTGCTTACGACAAGATGGCACCACTAGCTAAGAACACAGGCCTGGAAGGGGCGCCCTGGGTCATGCAGTCCAGGCCCTGCTCTCCCAGGCAAGGCTGGGGTATAATCCCAGCCAGGAGTTGGTCAATCTACGTCTTCAGACCAGGCAGGTTGTTTGCCTCCGCTACTGCATGTCAGGTATCAAACTGCAGCTCCCCTGGAGGTGCCGTGTCGTGCTTCTCCAGGAACTGAGTCCGCACCCTCCACAGTCAGGACCCAGCTGCCTCTCTCTGCCCAGCAGCTCCTTATATGCAGGGCTGCCCCAGCAAGTTGCCTTCTGATAGGCTACTTAAAAGCCTCTCACTAATTGGCCAGGGCTTGGCGCAGGCCCCCTCCAGCCTGCTTTGACCTCCCTCCCCAGCCAGTGTGGGGCAGCCGCCCTGCCACACTCAGAAAAAAAGCGTCTGTGTCCCATTCCCTCCCCCTGAGCCAGCCAGTCCCCCTGCCCTGGGGATGATGTTCCTGAGACAGGGAAGGCTCCATATCCCATTCCCTGGTCCCCTACACTAGCCAGGCCCTACCTGGACTGGAGCCAGCGCCCCCTAGAGGGGGAAAGCTCCCTATCCTGCCCCTGAGCCAGCCAGCCGCGCTGCATTTAGGGTTATATAGTAGACGGCCATGCTGTCCCCTGTATTGCACAGTGCACAGCTTGCCAGGCAGTGTGCTGACTGCTGGTGATGGATACCCCAGGGGCTGGTGGCAGACAAAGCCTCACCACCCGGGCACTGAGATAAGGGCGGGGCTGCCAGGGCACCTACAAGAGAAAGGGAAAAGGCCCTGAGGCATCGTTACATACCTGGACACAGAGCCGCAGGGCAGTCGAGCTGTACCACGCGATCCAGCAGGGAGTGGCCTTATCGAGGGCTCCTTCCTGTTCAAATACCCAGCTGCTGGCGTGATTGATGGCCCCTGAGTCCAACTGGCTACCGTCCACCCCGCACCCACTTCCGGACCCAGCATGCTGGTGTGGGAATCGACTCAGCAGGGTGCCAGTAGCTCGCCCTAGGGTTGGCTGGGCTGAGCCTGCCGACGCGGCTCTTTCAGCACCATTCTCCTGAGCCGAGCAGGACTGGGCAGGCCAGGGTCAGGCCATAAAGGGAGCGGGTAGTGGAATTGCTTGGAATCAGGCACTAGGGGGCGCTGTGTTGCAGGGGGCGGTTCCCCTACACGCCTAATACAGTCCTCAATGCCCCCACAGTGATAGGGGGCGCTCTCCCATGGCAGGCATTGCAGTCCCCAGGGCGCCACTAGGGGGCGCTGCGCTGCAGGGAGCGGGGCAGGGCCTCAGCCGGGGGCACTCTCACCTCACGGTCAGGGCTGACTCCCATGCCTCATGGCGGCGCTAGGAGGTGCTGTGCGGCAGGGATGGGGGGCTCAGCAGGGGGCGCTCTCCTCTCAGTCATGGGGACCTCAGGGCTCGTCTACACTGTTTCGTTTTTGTGGAAGAGGCAATGCACATGAAGTGCTAATTAGCAACTTCTCATGCTTCATTTGCATTTTCTTCTGATGCTTTTTGCGGAAGAGGTTTTTGCGCAAAAAAAGCAGTGTAGACGGGTCCATTTTGTGCAAAAAACCCGTGCCTAATCTACATCCCTCTGCCAACACAAGGATGTAGTTTAGACACAGCCTTAGAGACTCACAATTGTAACACCAATCTGTCTGAATTTCCATACCTGGCAGTTCCATCACCCCTATATTCCTACCTTGGCACAAGCTGGAAGTTCATGGCACCTCCTGTGCTGCTTAGCTGTTGGATTTTGAGGAGTAGCTCCTTCAGCTGGTAGTAGCAGTAGGTTCTTATCCTCTCAGGAGCCAGCTGCACTATAAGGATATGTCTACGCTGCATCGTAAGCCCCACAGCCTGAACCCAAGTTGGCTGACCTGGACCAGCTGTGGGGAGGTCAAATAGTGTTTCCAAGTCTGCCCTGGAGCATCCACCCAGCAGTGAAAACCTGGGTTTATGGGTGCTGGACCCAAGTCTCACAGCACCTCCGACGCATCCACACTGTGCGATCTTCTGAGTTGGGTCTGCAGCTAGACCAGTGTCCACACTGCAGACTGACCTGGCCTGGACCTGAGTCTCAGCAGGACTTGGGCTCCTACATCTACTCCCTGCAGTGTCCTGAGTTCTTGCTGACCTGACTCGGACAGATTTGTGTGTGGATTTGGGCTCAACCTGAGTCAGATCCTGGGCCTAGTGCGCAGTGTACACACCCCAAGTGTGTTATATAAATGTGCATCACCGAACGTATCCCTGGATGCCAAACCTCAAAGATATCACTTCATCGAGCATTGAGGATCTGAGCTCCTGGACCTAGATCTCGTGGTGACTGGTGCCCTAAAATGTGCCTTAGAGGGGTCGGAAGGAAGGAATGAAAGATATGGAGTCTGCTTGCAGACAAGGCAGACTGGGGATGATGACGAGGTATTTCCGACTCCTCCTAAGAAGGGGTTAATTTGGATTATTTTGGGCCCTGCCATTCCTGTAGCAAAGGCTCCATCTGGTGGAGGGATTAAGACAGGAAAACGGCTCCTTTGCGGGCAGATCTGGCAGCGAGCAGACCTGCAGCCTGCGCAGAGCAGAGGGAAGGCTGAATCTCTAACTACTGCCCCAAAAGGGAAGGGAGAACCCACCCCAGAAAGAATCAGAAAGGGCAGTATTCCCTTCTCCTCATAGGGACCCTGGACACTGGCAATCCCTTTTTATTGTCTTGCTTTGTTCTGTCCTAGCCATGAATAACCTTGGACTTAGGGGTGGTGGAGAGGTGGCCCAGGCAGGGTAATGTCCAGTATTCTTGGTTGCCAGACCACTGGTAGCCCCAAATGGTTTGAAGCCAGAGTCTGGTGGAGTGGGAGGGCCCAGACTCCTGTACTAACAACCTCGTGCTGGTCAGAGCTGTGGCCTGGCCACTTGGTCATGTTTCCCAACCAACCCCGGGGGGTATGTCTACACTACCCTCCTATTTCGAACTAGGAGGGTAATGTAGGCATACCGCACTTGCAAATGAAGCCCGGGATTTGAATTTCCCGGGCTTCATTTGCATAAGCCGGGCGCCGCCATTTTTAAATCCCGGCTGGTTCGAACCAGCTTCCTAGTTCGAACTACTGTTACTCCTCGTGGAATGAGGACCCATTATTTTATTTACTCGTGGAATGAGGAGTAACGGTAGTTTGAACTAGGAAGCCTAGTTCGAACTACCTAGTTCGTGCCCCGTGTAGCCGCGCTGCACGGGGTTCGAACCAGCGGGGTTTTAAAAATGGCGGCGGCCCGCCTATGCATGTTAACCTCACTCAGAGGGTATGTCTACACTACCCTCCTATTTCGAAATAGGAGGGTAGTGTAGACATACCCTGAGAGAGGGCCATCACGTGATCCAGACTGCCAATGCTTAAACCTAGATTAAGCCCGTTGGATTTTACTCCAAGTTTACACTGGGGTAAGAGTGATCTGATTGCATCCCTCCGGTCATAGAATGGTTCTGCTGGTTCTGTGGAGTGAATGAGGGCAGAGGTGGGACTTAAGAGGTGCACTGACAAATACTAAAATGTAATGCTGTTAAACTCCCTGTAGAATCATGGAAACAGGACTAGAAGGGACCCACCTTGACAGGTCACCTAGTCCCGTCCCCTGCAAACCTGCCATTTCAATCTCCGATGGCCATGATCAGTGCGACCACAGCCTTGGGCAGTATCACGTCTCAGACAACGGCCTCCATCACCAGAAAAGAACCAACTGCTCTAGGAGAGCCAGGGAGCGTCAATTAAAAATGCTCCACATAGAGAACAGCTCAAGACAGCCCGCTGACCGTGATCGATCCTCCACGTGTGCTCTAATCGGCCGCATCAGCTCAGCGCGATGTCAGCTCCCACTTCATCATTCACCAGATTCAACCCTGGTCCAATCAGAGAGCTGCAGCCCGTGGATATAATAATTCCCAGCATTCAACGTTAGCCACCCCCATCACTGGTCTCTAGTTCTTATGGTGCGAGACCTGCTTCCTGCACTGACTGGATTGTGTGCTCCAGGCTTGATCCAAAGTCCGGTGATGCTGAATGTCCGTGACTCTATAAACACAACCCTGAAGGACAGAGTGAGTCACCACAGGTGCAAAGGAGGAGGCCAGAGTTCTGACCGGAAGACTGATACGGTACATCTAGACTGTAGTTCTGGTATCCTGAAATAGCCACCCTACATCCAACGAACGTGTCCACTATTTCGAAATAATTTTCTAAATAAGGGACATGCTATTTCAGCATCCCTGTAAACCTCGTTCCACAAGGAATAAGGAATGCCTCGAAATAATGCTTTATTTCAAAATTTGGCACTGTGTAGACAGCGCAAATTGCGTCTCTTATTTTGATTTTAGAGTGCAGTGTAGTCATACCAATAAAGAGTTGCACAGGTCTCCTTCCAAGGTTCCCTCTTTGAGCTCATCTCTCTGAGCTGACCGAGTAAATAAAATGAGCCACTCCGGACTCTGAACCAAACTCTGTTTACTAGGGGAAGGAGATGGATGAATACAAGGAACCGAGGGGAGAAGGGAAGGGAGGATGAAAATGTAGGGCTAGAACTACCACAGATTAAACATACAGGTAAGTACAATGGAGACCTGGGAGCTTTCTGCCTTACCTCGTGGCTGTCAGGATCCTGGGTTGCCAGCGATCGCCCCTGAGATGATGATGATGGAAGTTGACAGGAACAGAAGCGGATCTGGATTCCCTAACGAGCCTCCACCCGATCCCCTTTTGCGCTGTTTTGTGTGCGGGTGAGCTCGACTTAACCAGAATAAATCCACGTGGACTCCCCAGTAAAACAGCAAACACCAAGCTGTCCCGCTCCCACTCCTCAGCAGTTGCCTCAGGCTGATGCTACCGTGCCCTTTCGGAGAGAGAGAGAAAGACGGCTTGCCTCAGGGCGGGGCTGCCACGGCCCCACTCTCTCCAAGAAGCAATCTAGAGAGCCTGAAGTGAGAATGAGAGCCCCATGCCATTCCCACCTTCTCCTTCCCGCTCTATCTAAACTTTCCACCTTCTCCTCCTCTGGGAGGAGTAAGAGCCCTGCCCAGCATGGCAGACTCGTTGTCATAACCAAACAAAATGGCAACCCCATCTCATAACACAATCAAGCCTCTTTTCAACAGGCACACCTCAAATTAAACAAGGGAAACAAGTTGTTACACAGTGAAAGTATCTTGAGACCTTCTGATACAGAAAACCTCCTGTCCCTTGAGAGGGGGCTGGTCAGCTTTGGCCAGCCATATAGATCCACCTCATCTTTGAGTTTCTGCAGCAGAGCATCATTCTTACTTCTCCAGCTGCCCTGGTGTGGTCATGAGGAACACGCCATGTGTACAGATCCCCTTTACTGTAGTATCTGAGTCCCCACGATCCTATGTATCTTTTCTCATATCCCCTCCAGTGAGGTGGGGCAGAGCTATTCTCTCCATTGCACAGTTAGGGAAACCGAGGCACAGAGAAGGTAAGTGACTGTCCCAAGGAAGCCTGTGTCAGAGCAGGGAGTTGACCCCCAAGTCTCTCAAGTTAGCACCTTAACAACTGGATCACTGTGATATGTGCATACGCTGCCCTGGGCAAGAAAGTGTTAACCTCACATTATGGGCAACCAATGTCCCGCCCCTCAGACTCTCATTATAAAAGGGAGCAGCTCAGCTCGTTCTAGGCTGACTGCCAAGGAAAGCGGATACTTGGTGGCAGTGCAAGGCCAGAAGCCTCTATACCCACTGACTGTGGGAACCAGAGAACCCAGCGACCAGCTGGAGAGCTGCTGCCTTCTGTCAACCACCGGCCAGCAATCAGACTTCCACGGAGTGACCCCTGCCAGGGAACCCAGAGACCACAGCGATGTAGGGACCCGTCTCTCAGGAGAGATGGGAAGAAGTGGCCCGGGGAGGTGTCTCCCATCCGAGCAAGCTAAGCATGTTGCTGTAGGATTCTTTGGTGACTGGGTGGTGACTACACCTGTCATTGATAGAGCCATGGGCTGGGACTGGTGGAAAGGGAGGCTGGGTTCCCCCTACCCTGGCTGCTTCCCACCCCTGCACGATGGCTCACTTTTCTGTCTCTGGCCACTAGGCCATGCTGCCCTGACCCTGAAGGCTGTTGTGTTAACTCCAGTTACTGGACTGAAGAGCTCTGATACCCTGAGGGCAGTTATATGGACTAGTTGTTAAACCACGCCCCTGAACACAACAGTTGTATGGACTCTGGCCATTAGGTTGCACAGCCCCGTACCCGAGGCCTGTCATATTGACTCTGGCCTGTGGACCATGATGCTTTCAGCCTAAAGACAGTCACCTCTAGACTGTAACCACAGTGGTATCACAACCCCGGCCTGCCTCCAAAGGGAGGATGTGTGTGGATACTACACACCAATCATCCCTTAAGCACACAGATTTTAACTCTGACACCCATTTGAAGAGAGAATTTTCTCAGTGTGTGAATTAAAGAGTTCAAGGGACTGCCTTCTTGTTCTGTGTGCACCTCAGGTCCATGGTCTGCGATTAAAGCGTCTAAATGCTACAGCAATGCAAATAAATAACAAAAATTAAATACATCAGTATTCCAAAAGAAAACGAAAACTGGGGAATCAAATTCGGTCCCATGCAACTTAAAGGCAGGAGCAGATTCACAGATGTCTACAATGGCTCCAATCACTAGAGGTAGCTAATGATTTAGTGTTAGCTGCACAAGATGTACTGTATCGAAAAGAAAACTGTTTCCATTAGAACTGTGTTGAACACGTATCATGGAAACACCTTGGGTTTCTTTTGCACAATCCGGAGCCAGTTTTGACCTGACACTGAGATTGCCCCTTTAAAAGCTTCCTCTAAGCTTTCCAGTGCCTGCCCTTGGGTTATGTTAGCCCAGTCCCTGGGCAGATCGGCAGGTTTAGTTCCGTACTCTCGAGCAAACTGTTGGTTGAACTCCTTGAAAACAAACTTCCAATAGTTGGAATTTTTGTAGCTCGGATCAGCTGGAGAAGGATAGCCCAAGACTTCATCTTCACAAAAACAGTGACTTCTGTGGACATGGGAATCTTTGATAAGCCATCCAGAAGAGCACGGAGAAGAATCAATTTTTGGTTCTTTTTCCAAACAGGGTGAGAAGACTCTCTTGGGTTTTATGAGCCCCTGAGGCCGGTGGACTGATGCAAAATGCATTTTGTGATCCATGCCTCCTGCTTCACATGGGACTTTACAGAATGGGCAGCAGTACCCACAGCCAAATACACGCTTAAAAATCTCTTCCTGGGGCTTCAGAGGCAGGATGGAGAGCTTAGACTCAACATCCAAGTCTTCAAATTGGGCTAAGATTGTTTGCTCAAATGTGGACAGGAAAGCTTGGACAGCAGTGGGAAATTGGTTGGGATTTGTTGGGTTAATAAGCTGGATTCTGGCTAAACTGTCCCTAGATATTACAAGATCTCTTTGCAAAGATTTGAAAAAGCTGCCTGAAATGTCAACCTGAGTCTTGGAGTTCTCCAGAGCATCCCTGATTTTCTTTATTACCGTGGACAGAAGCTCTTTCTGCAGATCCACCAAGCCCCTCGTCTCTTTGTAGTGATCTAACAGGTGTGTCCATATCCAGGTTTTGGCAAACGCTTCATAGTTATTAATGTATTTCACGTAGCAATCAAAGTTCATCTCCTCCAAGAGTCTGCTCAGCAACCAAAATTGGAAGATGCTCCGATTGCGGTAGCCTGTCGCCTGTGCACTGTTGAGAAAATTGCCCACTATGTTTATACCCAGCATCCTATGAACATAATCCATCAGGGCTGGCCTCAGACACTCCTCACAGAACATCTGGATCTCCTTTTGAAAGGCATCCTTTTCCAATGACGGGGTTCTAAATGGGGAGAGATACGGAGGCTTCTGCTTCTCGCTTTGTTGTGGAGGGCCTTTGCCTTTGATGGTATCTTCATGACTCTTCTGAAACACACGTGTCCCCTCCTCCCAAATGTGATCCTCATGGTCAGTGTCTAAATACATGCTAGAAACAGGTTCTCCAGCCTGTGGAAGTCTCTCGTTGATCATGCCTGGCAATTCTCTCTGGAAGATTTCAATGTAGTCAGTCATGAATGTGACTTCTTCATCTCTGCCAGTCCTGCCATTTTCCAGCGAGGTCATTACAAGTTCTGCTTTCTGCCCGTGATGGTTGGTGGACACTTCTCTCATGTGTTCGGTCCACATTAAAAAGTCTAAATGCTCCTTTTTCATTCGGACGGTGCTAGCACAACAATTCAACCGGCTTCCTCTTTGCTGTAGCTTTGGATTGCCTGCAACCCCTTCGTTATTTAGGTCATTGGTTTGCTGGAACACCATGGTTTGGATCTTCTGCACATGACTGAATAAGAACTCAGCCAAAGTTTCATCTAATTCCAAAGCCTTACAATCTATTTCACATTCTCTTTTCCTGCAGTGTGCCGACAATCTGTCTGTGTTCCTTTGCATTGTCTGCATGTTCATGGCTTGGATCTGGTGGGCCAATATCTCTGGGGTGTTTTGGCAGTCAAGCGCTTCTTTACACTTGCTGAATGAATACCGTTTGAGTTCTTTTGTGAGGCCATTGGTGCTCCTGATGAAATCTTCCCGGTACTTCCCTGTCAGGAGCAAATTCTCAGCTCCACTGTCAATGTATTTTTGCAAAGCATCCAAGAGCCTCTGTTCTTCGTGCTGCAATTTCTGCTGAGCCTCATGTTTGAACCTACTTAAAGGCAGAAGATCTAGTTCAGCTCGAGGCTGATTCTGGATAAAAGTTTCTTGCTCAGACACCCAAAGATGCATCTCCTTGCGGAAATCCCATTCCCATTCAGCATACTTGGTAGTCAGCTGGTTGTACGTGTGAGCCACAAAGTTATTTCTCAAGCTGAAGGTAGAACTGGAATGTTTGATAGCATTCCACAAACTCCTTACCCACTCATTCAACTGGGGAACGTCCTTAAGGGGTCTGTTAGATGAGGATCTTCTCATGCATTCAATCAGGTATTTCTTTAGCTCAAACACACTCTGACTGTATCTGATATTCACTGGAGCCATGGGAGGGACTCCACACCAAAAACCAGGGATGTACCAACTATGTTTCTCTGGATCATGATATATAATATCAGGACATTTCATTTCTCTGATTCCTTTTTCTGTAGAAGCTGCGGCTAGAGTAATTTCCTCCGGCGGCTGCAGGAATGAATACCAATCTCCCATGTGGGGTTCACACCCAGACACATCACTGACGTTCTGATGGACAAATTGGCAGTTTGGATGTTCCCTGACAATCTCCATTTTCAGAAATGTATCTAGCATGATTTGCAGAATGTCCTGCATGTCGGTGGCGTTCTCCATGGCCATGTTAACGATGACGATGTCGCTCAGTCCAACCACCAGCATGACCAGCTCGTTGTGGTGTTGGTAACGGTCCTCCAGCTTGGCCAATTCGGGGGCTTTCAAGCCTTCTGTGTCGATCACCAGGAGGCAGTCACAGCCCAGGACCGGCTGAAAGGTCTCTGCCACTTTGAGGAGCGACATGAAGGCTCCTCGTGTACATCGGCCGCTGCTCACTGCAAACTGCAGGCCAAACATGGTGTTGAGGAGGGTGGATTTCCCCGTGCCCTGCCCGCCCATCACCGATAGGACCAGCATCCTGGACCTTCCCCCCAGCTTGGCATGGAGCTCAGTCAGAACATCGGTCACCCACTGCAGGGGGATGTTGGCGGCATCTCCATCCATCAGCTCTAAGGGAAACCCTTCCAGCATCAGCTCAGCAGCGATGCCTGGGAGATGGGTGTATTTTCTTTGGGTTTTTAGCTTTTTTCCTCCCTTCACCATTGCGCATTCAGCTTCATAGAACCGCCCCACCCCGCGCAGGAAATGCTCCACCCCTAAGGAACTGGAGGACATTGGTTCATGCCGTTCTGCTCTGTGTGGAGGATCATCTCTTCCAGCATGAGAGTTCTCAGCATAGTCAGTCCATCTGGAGGGAGTCCCCTGAACGACGTGACCCAGCCGATATTTCATCCACTTCAGGAAGTAGTGAGTTTCCACCGGAGAGAGTTTCCCCAGCCCAGCAGTAAACTTGACCATCCCCTCGGTGAGTTCACATTCACCCTGCAGGGTGTCCCAGTCCAGCCATTCCTCTCTTTGCTGAGATGTATGGAGCTCAGGGGCAGGATCTCTTTGCTCTTCCTCTGCTTTGGCCATACCCTCTGGAAGTCTCAAGGATTCCCTCTTGTACTTTGCCACGTCCTCTATTTCCGCTGTGATTCCTGCCGCCCATTGGCTCGCATTTTGGCATCCCTCGCCATCCTCATCCACCCGGATGCCCAGCTCTGGGGCTGTGGCTCTGGGAGAGGACTCCAGGAGGTTTCCAACGGTGGATTGCAGCTTCTCCACAAATTGCGCAAGGCTGAGGGAGTTCTGTCTCATCAGCACACGGGGTTTGTCTAGTTTCAGCGCGGACTCCAGTTTACAAAGGAAGCCCAGGGTCTCCTCGGGGTTCTCGAGCTTGCAGTTAAAGATGAAGTAGTACGGAGTGGCAGATCCCTGCAGAGACGACAACAGGGCGTATTCTCGCTCACCGACGCTCTCAGTTAATATGAACACCGCTGAAGAAACTTGTGTTAAAAAGCTGAACTGCAGCCAGTGCGACTCAATGTCCCCGCGCAGGTTTGTAACCGCAACGGGCTCGGGGAAAAGATCCAAATTCTCTTGCCCGGCAGGGAAATACCAGGCAATCTCGACCAGCCCGTCGGCGATTTCCCGTGGGACATTCCCAGACTCCATGTCCCGATGCACAAAGAAGTCGTGGTGCTGCTGGGCGGGGCTGAGAACCTCGTTGAGGAGCTGGGACTTGGAGAAGCGGCAGCTGCCCAGCCGCACAAAGGAGACGGTTGGCATTGGGGTGAGCACCAGGCTCTCCTCCCTGAACCCTCGGCTCTGTGCCAGGGAGTGCGGCCGCCACCTCCTCACAATGTCCCGCATGGCCCACAGCAGCAGGGTGCACCTGGGGGAGTCGAGGGCGGGCAGCAGCAGAGGCAGGGCAAACTGGCACATGGACATTCTGGACAGGATCTCCTGCTGCAGGAAACTGTCTGAGCAAAGCAGCTTGGCGCTGTCCATGTGACTCAGAGAAACATTATTGCAATCAGTGTGTACTTCCAGCTCCTCACTGGGTTCTTGATCACCAGGTCCCCCGTGCACAAGCCTTGTGTTTCTGGCGGTCCCATTCAGAGCTATGATTTTCCTCAGGAAATGCCATGGTAAATCCCCTAATGTAATAGGAGCCAGGATCTCTAGGCTTTCTGGGCTAATCTTTTGGAGATCCCTCAGTGTAAGCTGCTCGCTTCTGTGTTTCTCCAAGTTCAGCTTCTTCAGAACCAGCTGCGTGGCTTGTTTTCTCTCTGCAGAAGAAAAAAAATAACATGACATTTATCCACGTCTAGCCTCCTCCAACCTTTACTGTGACAATTCCCAAATATCTGCCCCTGCAAGTTTAACACCGGCCGCTACCGCTTTCACACCATCTCCGACCTTAACTCTGACCCTTACCCGTTCCACCCTCCTCTAACCTTAACTCTGCCCTGTTACCCCTGTCTATCATCCCCTAATATTAAGTGTTCCCCCTTTCACCATGCCCCAATTACTCCCAATTACAAGTCAAATTACAATTCTTCTCCTCTGGCTCCCTTGATATAACCATAGAACCATAGAGCTGGAAGAGACCTTAGAAGGCCATTAAGTCCAGCCCCTTGCCCAAGGCAGGACCAATCCCAATTAATTCAACCCAGCCAGGACTTTGTCAAGCTGAGACTTAAACACCCCTAGGGATGGAGATTCCACTACTTCCCTAGGGAACCCATTCCAGTGCTTCATCACCCTCCTAGGGAAATAGTTTTTCCTAATATCCAACCTAGTCCTCTCCCACCACAACTTGAAACCAAAAATAAACAAAAATACCCCAAAACAAACATGATTCTGGGATGCATTAACAGGAGTGATGTGAGCAAGTCCCAGGAAGTGATTTGCCCATTCTACTCTGTACTGATTAGGCCTCTGCTAGGGTACTGTGTCCTGTTCTGGGCGCTACTCTTCAGGAAAGATGTGGACAAATTAGAGAAAATCCAGAGAAGAGCAACAACAATGATTGAAGATCTAGAAAACATGACGGAAGACTGAAAGAACTGGGTTTGTTTAGTCTGGAAAAGAGAAGACTTGAGAGGGGGCATGATAACAGTTTAAGTACAGGCAGTCCCTGGGTTACGTACAAGATAGGGACTGTAGGTTTGTTCTTAAGTTGAATTTGTATGTAAGTCGGAACTGGTACATATTGTAGGGGAAACTCTAGCCAAACATTTCTCCAGAGCTCAGTTTTATTCTCCCACACCTCACTTCCCTCAGGGTATGTCTACACTATGAGAGGGGGCATGATAACAGTTTAAGTACAGGCAGTCCCTGGGTTACGTACAAGATAGGGACTGTAGGTTTGTTCTTAAGTTGAATTTGTATGTAAGTCGGAACTGGTACATATTGTAGGGGAAACTCTAGCCAAACATTTCTCCAGAGCTCAGTTTTATTCTCCCACACCTCACTTCCCTCAGGGTATGTCTACACTACTGAGGTGTCTGCTGAGAAAAGCCGCTCCATTAGTTACAAGGAAGATCTTGGCCTCTGAGGACAAGACAAATAGAAATGGGCTTAAACTGCAGCAAGGGAGGTTTAGGTTGGACATTTTGGCAATATCTATCTTTTATGGCCCCCAATGAATCCATATGTATTGAGATGAATACATTGTAAAATCTCAGTTAAAGTCAGTTGGTCTAAATCAGTTATAAATATATTTGGACACAACATGTATACTTGGTGTTATGTTCCTGTTCATATTTTTTGAACTTAAAAGTTGACAGACAACCTTTATTACCAATAATATGTAATGTACTTTACAATGTTCCTGACATATATTTCAGCTTCCTGGATTTTTTTTTTCATCTGGCCTTCAGATATGAAAGGCAGAGTGATTTAACACCTGTTTAGATTTGTCATCCATGTGACGAAATGAAAAGTATGCCGTTTGCAATAAACTTTGCATAAAATAGTTAATTTGCATTTAATTTTAATGGTTCAAAGAATGTCAGGCAAAATGGTCGGCCCTCACGCATGTTCACTTCATCAAATCTGGCCCTCTTTGAAAAAAGTTTGGACACCCCTGGGGTAGAGGATTGGACTTGATGACCTCTAGAGGTTCCTTCCAGTTCTATAATTCTATGATAGACCCATTAAATTCCTGTCTCTGAAGCACCTGACACTGGCTAATGTTGGAAGATAAGATACTAGCTAGCTAGGTTGGTCCAACCCAGGATGGCCATTCTTTTGTTATAAGCTGAAGCCAGACTTCCTCTTCAGTTCCCTGTTAGGACCTTGCTTTCTTCTCCTCCACATAAGGATGTATCCTCTCCCACCTCCTCCTGATCACCATTGTATTATTGGCCGGCGAGCCCACTCTACCTCAGTTTACCTCAGAATCCCCACACCCATGCACAGATCGGGCTGATTCTCTTCTCATCTCCTTCATGATAGGGTAGGCACTGAGCCTCCCTCCCTACCAGTCTCAGACACCCCTGATCCCTCAGCCCGTACCAGCAGGTTACTTCATAATGCAGCTAAATCTGAGGCTACTGCAGTTCATGTGCACATCACAGGAGTGCACGGCTGAGTGTCCTTCCCCCGGCAGCGAACGGGGCTCTCCCCCGGGCGTGGAGTACAGGGGACACAGTTGTGTGTCTTTCCTGGGCTGTATCCTTTGTAGAGACAAACTTGAAAGAACAACTACCTTGGGACACATCTCTCTCCTCCGGTTCTGGATGTCGCGGAGTCTCTGATTCCTGTTCTGGAGTAAAAGCAACTTCCTCCCCCCGTTCCGGGGCCGGTGGCGGGTCTGAGTTCTGCTTCTGGCTGAAAAGCTCTAGCAGGGAAAACGAGAGGGAGCCTAAATGAGCGGCGCTCGGTCACTGACCCGCTCCCGCCCCCTTCCCAAAGGCCTGGGGCGTCGTGCAAACTCCGGTCTCAGGGTGCAAACAGGAATGCACAAGGCGAGGTTGGTGACGGTGCTCAGTCTGGGCCGGTCGGAAAGGAGCCGGTTGTGAGTCCATCTGCACCAACCCTCCCCAAACTGTGGGACCCCAAAGTGGGTCATGACCTGATTTTCGGGACCCCAAAGTGGGTCATGCCCTGATTTTAATGGGGTTACCAGGGCTGGCTTTAAACTTGCTGGGGCCCAGGGGTCCAAGTCCAAGCCTGAGCTCCATTGTCCGGGTCTGAAGCCAAGCCCAAGGGATGTTGGGGCTCAGGTTACAGGCCCCCCCAAGTAGAGCTATAGCCCTTTGGTTTTGCCCCCTCACAGCTTGGGTTGTGGGGCTCAGGCTTCAGTTCTCCCTCCTGGGGTTGTGGAGAAATAGTGGTTGTCAGAAGGGGGTCCCAGTGCAATGAAGTTTGAGAGCCCCCCGCCTTATCTAACACTTGGGCTACGTCTACACTGGCATGATTTTCCGGAAATGCTTATAACGGAAAACTTTTCCACTATAAGCATTTTCAGAAAACGCGCGTCTACATTGGCAGGATGCTTTTCTGGAAAAGCACTTTTGCGGAAAAGCGTCCGTGGCCAATCTAGACGCACTTTTCCGCAAAAAAGCCCCGATCACCATTTTCGCCATCGGGGCTTTTTTGCGGAAAAGTAATCTCTGCTGTCTACACTGGCCCTTTTCCGGAACAGTTTTCCGGAAAAGGACTTTTGCCCGAACGGGAGCAGCATAGTTTTTCTGGAAAAGCACTGATGATTTTACTTTAGATCGTCAGTGTTTTTCCGGAAATTCAAGGGGCCAGTGTAGACAGCTGGCAAGTTATTCCGGAAAAGCGGCTGATTTTCCAGAATAAGTGGCCAGTGTAGACACAGCCTTGGTGTGTTTCATAGAATAAACAGGGCATTTTTGGGGCTTTAAAAAAAGAATCATGCACATAGCATGGTTTCTTTATTTGATCTGAGAAATGGAGATTTTGACCTTACTTAGAATTTCCATTTCTATGTGTGTGTGGTCCATGTGTATGCATGCACTCTGTGTGTGGGTGTAAAGTTAGAGTCTGGGCATGTGTATGTGTGTACATTCTATCAGTGCATGCATGTGTATGTGCAATGTGTCTCCGTGCAGTCAGCACATTCTTGTGTGTGGACAGTCATGTGTATGTGCAGTTAGTCTGTGTGCGCGCACGCATGTGCAGTATGTGGGTGTGCAAATGTGATCACGGCACGCTGGTGTGTGCGTGTGATCAGTGGATGTACATGCAATGTTGTGTGTCTATGTTCAGTCACTGTGTGTGCATGCATGCAGACAATGTCTCCATCTCTGGAGATATTTAAGAGTAGGTTAGATAAATGTCTATCAGGGATGGTCTAGACAGTACTTGGTCCTGCCTTGAGGGCAGGAGACTGGACTCGATGATCTCTAGCTGCAGTGTTTGTTTGTGTGTGTGTGGGTGCTCAGTGTGAGTGTGTGCACGCTCTGTGTAACCATCCATCATCCATGTAACTATGCACACAGCTGTGTGTGTGTGTGTGACTATGTGAAATGCATTAAAAGGAAACCACCAGCTGTGAAATTGAGTCATGAGTGAGAAATGGTTTCAGACTCCATCCCATCCCCTATTGTGCTGCGAGGTATTCAGACACCCACCCTACCTTCACCCCCCGCTTCGCACCTGAGATCGCGATCTGCTCCCTTCTTCCCTCCCCTCTCCTGCTGGCCTGGCCTGTTCAGCTTTTACCAGTTTTTACATAAACCGGAAAATTCCCAGGAAAATGTCAACAAAATGCAAACAAGAAAATGAGGAGCCGTGGCAAGACTATATCAGCCATTTTGGGGGATGCCTGCAAACGAACAAGATACCTAAGATGTAGCCATGCGTGGCTAACTGCCCGATCTATGGCTGCCGTACTTTTGATCCTAGTGAAATACATAAAGGCTGCGGCTTCACTGACAGTTTTAGAGAGACAAGGCGGGTGAGGACAGATCTTTGATTGAATTGTCTGTTGGTGAGAGAGACAAGCTTTCGAGCTGCACAGGGATCTTCTCCAGCTATTACCTCACCTGCCTTGTCTCTCTGATGCCTTGGGACCGAGGGGACTACAGCTACACTCACCTGGTTTAGTGCCACACCTTTCACACTCTGGACATGGGACTGGGGCTGCCAGGTAGCGGATCCCAGCAGAAGCGTGTTTTAGTGTCTCACCACACAGGGCAGGTAGTGCAGCCTCCTGTGACACACCCAGATTCCCCGCCGCAGAGGGGCCGACAGCTAGTGCGGGCCTGCGGGGTAAGAGGTGTGTGTATGTGTGTGTGTGTGTGGGGGGGGGGGGTGTTCCACACCCTGAAAGGGCCAAGGTCTCAGGTGAATAGGGCAGGGCTGAGGGCAGTCAGCCTTTAGCTCTGCCCTGACTGGTGTGTCCCTCCCCTTCCCCCCCGCCCTCAGAGCCGTACAGAGCCCAGATACTGTGACGACTATAGCCCTGGGCCCCTTTGAATCTCTGGGCTCTGGGGCAATTGCCCCCTTTGCCCCCCTCTGTCAGCGAGCCTGCCCCGCTGTCTGAAGAGCTGAATTATTGCAAGGAGCAAAGGCCACATATCTAAAGGCGTCAGCCATCCAGGCTGTTCAAGTGCTTCCAGCCAGGGGCTGTTTCTGGCTGGGCTCAGGCACCGAGGCGACAGGAAGCAGCCGCTGAGAGAGGGAACAGATTTATTAGTCCAGCAAGTTTCTCCCCACCTCAATCTCTTGCAGGTTGTATCTGCTCTCGCTGCTTTATGCCTTACCGGCTGGAACAGCCTCCCTGAGCTCCTCCGCCAGGTCTCTGTGATGGATGTCTCTCAGCACCTGCACAGCCACCTCCACCCCGTAGGGCTCCCCGCAGTGCCTGATCAGCAGGTCAGTAACATCCACCTGGTCCCCTTTCTCCAGCTGGCTCCAGGGGATGGCTTGATATCCCTCCTTCAGCTGGATTCTTCTCAGCTTGTACTTGAATCTCTTGAGATCCTTCTCCCCCAGCTCGTCCAGTGTCTCCAGCAGGGAGGAGCTGCTGTCACCTGTCTTCTCCATCCCAGCCCCGCAGACACAGCCCTAAGCAAACGGTGGGGCCATCATGGGGAGAGAGAAACCAGGAAGCAGCTTCCG